AGATGTGCAACGAAAAATCGAGCTGTTTGGCAATGTGCAAGCGAATATCTATCAATTGAGCTATTTTTTATTTAATTTACTCTTAGTTGGGGGGCTAGTGTGAAGTGGCCCCCCGAAATTTGTTTTGTTAATAACTTTTTTACTAGAAATGTGCAAACGAAAATTCGAAATGTGCATACATGTGCAAACGATGAGCAATCGAATGAGCTATAGAAACTTTATGTTTTTCAATGTTGGGGGGCTATCTTCACACAGGTGGATGACAGCGTTAAATGCCAGGTCAGTCGTTAATTAATTAATTTCTTTTCGCTTTTATAGATAAATTTTTTTCGCTTTTAAGGTAAATTTTGTTTTTCTTTTTATTTGCTTTTGCGCGCTTTTGAGTTAAAGAAAATTTTTTTATGATGAGTTTTCTTTTGACACGGATTGATTATCGGACGGACGCGCATACGTTTTTCAAGTTTGGCACAGGCTTCGATGTTTCGGTTTTAGGAGGGAAAAATCAAATAATTTAGGGAGTCTTATAAGCTTCGAAGTTTCTTCTAAGTGTCTGTTAGAAGGGAACTCGTTCAGATGTGTGAATTCCGTTTCGGGGAAGCGTTCTGGAGTGGTTTTCATCGGAGCCTGTGGGGAAGTCGGTTGTTCTTTCCGTCCAAAGAAGGGAAAATATTGAATTGAAAGATGTTCTTATTTTATAAATTACTGTTTGTGTTTCTTTGTTTTCTTTAAGTATTTCATGAAGAGGAGTGCAAAAAACGATGTGGGGAAGAAGATCTTCTGTTTTTTGTCCGAACATTTAGCTAAAGAAATCCTTTTTTTAAGAAATCCGTATCGCTCTCGGTTCTTTTTTGAACCGTGATTTTTTCGAGGGACTTAGAGCAAATGCCGAGGCGAGGACTTGGGGTGTCCGAAAGACGAAAGGAAGCTTCCCCCTTCCCTTGTCTGAAAATTCAAGTGTGAAGTGCGCAAGACACAAGTGCAAGATAAAGAAACATCACGGAGAAAGAAAGAAGAGGGAAGATGACCTCGCAGCGGCACGGAACTTTCGAGAAGGATGAAGTTTGGGACTGGTTCGACGCTCGGTAACCCGCAGCAATAGCTCGGGGTAGAGCAGGAAGCCGACAGATTCCCTGAGAGCTTCACCATTGAAGAAGAAGCCGACTTTTCTGCGGAGGAGTTCCCTGGAATTGTCGGGACGACAATTTCGAAGAGGAGGAGGATAGTGTTACGACCGAGCGATGTTCCGCTCGACTATCCGATTTTTAACGTGAAGATCGTTCTTTGCCGACGCGGTTGTCAAGCGGTCGCTAAGCGGTTGCCAAGGGATAGTTGTTGTAGCAAGAGAGTCGGCGGCGCGGCGCGTGAATTTAAGCCGTAACGCGGATTATAATTGCGAATAATAATTAATTGTGAAAGTTCTTGTTAATGCTCCTGTGCTTTGTGCGTAATAAAGTTTGTGTTTTTTTCCCAAACTGTTCTTCCTTTCTTGATGCGAGTGAACTCGCCGCGAGTGTGACAATATTATATCACAAAATTGTTTTACTCAACCTAAGTTTTTATCACAAAAAATTAAAGAGTAACAGTACAAAATAAATGATAAAATTTTAGTTAAATAAAAAAAATTTTATGTAAAAGCACTTGACGCTGCCCGACCGAATAAAGAAAATAATAATTAAAAATGTATAATTAATGATGAAGTTATTTGAATGTTATAAAGACTTATTGTTCCATATGTATGATAATTATGAGATCAAACGAGCCCGTCGAAGACGGACAAAGTTTGATCAAAATTATATGAAATGTCTCGTTCGAAGATGATAGTATTGTAGTGTTGCTTGTCATACTTCATATCACAACGTTTAATGTATGACCAAATCAAAACTTGAGATCTTTATGAATACATTATCTTTTTTCGAGCGCGATTAAGAGGATCCTAAAGTGACGGGAATTACCGACACATTCCAGTGCACCAAAGAACTTTTTATTGGCTTGACAGATTGCAAAATTCTTTCAGGCAATTAAAATACACACAAAAAAATATTCGGGACAATCGATTTAATAAGTAAATAAAGAAAAAAATTAAAAATTTACAATAATTTTAGCTCCTACAGCTGTCACATCAGATTTTCGTTTCCTTAATACAAAAATTCTACAGCTCATATATACAAAATGAGTACGTTCCGCACTTCGGACTGAATAAATAAACAATATTATATTTTTGGATTTATGATTGAAAGCTTAAAAAAAAAGTTTAGAAACTTGAACAGATTGTGTATGATTTTACGCATATATATATATATATATATATATGCTTGGCGCAGATATAAAAATGATAAGTAGAGCAGTAATTGTAGTTAATAGATCTTGCAATAGATGGCGTTGCAGAGGAAAGATAAGGACAAACGATTGATAAAACGTTCAATAAGCTTGCTTGTTAAAATGAATTAATTTTTTATCGAAATCAACCATCCCGCGCTTCTTTTTTTGTGCTATGTTTCAATTGCAAAAGAATTTTGTAATCTGTAAAACCAATTCAAAGATTTTTCAATAAAGTAGTATTAAAGTATTTTCAATAAAAACAGTCAACATATAATTTTGTGTTT